AACCGGTCGTGGCGGACTATATTATAATTTGCGATTTTTGGATCGCGTCTGCTAGGTTTCAAGAAGGTCTCTTGCACTAGAAATATATCGACGTTATAATCGCGAAGGAATTCTGCGATTTCGTCCCTTTGGCCCCTAATGCCGTTTGCGTTAAAATACGAAACAACCAGAGCCCGAGGTTTTAATCTACCTGCGGTTGTACTTTCCATTTTAGCTTTAGTAGCGGTTCTAGGTAACGACGCGGCGAAGCGCGGTTTTATTGCCCGGACTATAAACCTTTATGGTTGATTTGTAAACACCCAAAGGGCGTCTACAAGTTTTTTGTGCTCGTTGAGCGCATTAAGTCGATCGGTGCCACATGTGGCGGCCGATAACTTTGTAGATAGGACGGCGAGCTCTTCCCGGTTTATGCGTTCCAGGAAGCTGCAGATGTTTGCCATTTGGGCAAAAGGGTCGTCTTGGTTCGCGGAAACGACCGGTGTAATAAAATGCACCTGCGGCCTCGGTGCTTGTTGTTTGACAGGCTGCGGTTGGAATGTCGTCGGTCGTGAGGCGACCGGAGGCGCTGCTACCTGCGCGACTGCCTGAGGTTTCGCCCAGGCGTTTACGACGGGTGCGGGCGCGAGAATGTACTTCGCCGGCGCGGATTTCGGGGCCGCGATTTTCGCGAGCGTAATTTTTGCGGGTGCTTTCCTCGGGGGGGTTTTTGGAGCTTTAGCGCAGCCCCTGTAGCTAGCCGGGTGGGCGGTAGTCAAACAATTTACGCAGTCTGGTGGATCTGCGCAATCTTTAGGACGCGTGCAATCTGTCGTGCCGTGGTCACCGGTGCATTTGACGCACCTAGGGTGAGCAAAACAGTTGCGGGCTGTGTGGCCATAGTGTTGGCAGTTATGACACGGCGCAACAACGCCTGACTTCCGTGGAGGCTCAACGACGAGTTCGCTAAGCCCACAGAGCCTCTTCAAATTAAAAATTGCCTTACCTTCCGGGGTAGGGTCCAACTCCACCATTACAATGTCCATCGGGACACGGGTTCTGGGGTGACGTAGGCGACGAACGGCGTGCACCGGGTATCCCTGAGTGCGGATGTCGATTTTTACACTGTCGACATCCGACTCTTTCGGGATTCCCTTTATGACTACCCGAAGTTTGCGTTCTTCAGGCAGCGAGTAGGTATGGAAACCTACTTTGTTTTCGCGTAAATATTTAGTGACGCGGCGGAAGTCATCGATGCTATCGAGGTATACACGGATACCTTGATGGGTGTTCTTCGACCGGGGGTCTCGAATATTGTGGCGTTCGAACCACACGCAAATTTGATGCCATTTAGCTTTCTCCTGGATGATGATAGGCGGAGGAGGCTTGGCTTTTCTTTCGGCGGCGTATTCGGGTACCGGTTGGACTGCCGCGGCCGCCTTTCTGGCGGGCGTCGCAGTGGATCTATTAATTGAGGTGGCGGCCTCGCTTTCGGGGTCGCTATCTACGGCGGGGGCGTTTCTTGCCCTTCTTTTTTCGTCCAGTGACGACGGTGAAGCCGTCGTCATTGGGTTTACCGGCGGGAGTTAAATCTACCTCCATATCCGATCCGCCGTCCGAGTATGAGTCGAGTACGACGGTGCACAAGGAGGCCGGGGTAGCTTGCGAGGAAGGCGCGAGGGGCGTGTTCGCAGCGGCGGATGTCGACGCGACGGGCGCTTCTTGCGTCGCGGAAGGCAACGGGGTTACGGGCGCAGAGGGCGCCGGAGATGGCGGCGATGCGATTGCCGGTGAAGGCGGGCTGTCGTTGGCGTATTCAACGACTAATCGTTGTTCGGATTCGAACGCTAGGTAGCTTTCCCAAATGTCAGGACAGCGTTGTCGGACGAACTCCTCGAAAAGGGAGCCCATCGTAACGTATGTGCCTTTGGGGCTTAGGCCCCCCGCCGGCGTGTGTAAGCTTAATAAGCCTCCCCACCTTGCGGCAGGGAGGAGTGTGCCTAAAAATAACACTTAATTCGCCTGCGCTTTAGGTGCGCTAGGGTGAGTACCTAGCTGTCGCCCAATGCAACAAGCACACAGTTGAAAATTAGGCAATGCCGCCTCTGAGGCGAGAAATGTGTGTAGAATTCTACTTACGGACAGGAACCTGCCTACGAGCACAACACTAAACTATTGCACTACTTGCACAAATATTTAAATTGCAACCAAAGTTGCGAGTAGCGTCTAATTCGGGTGGCATGTGCCCTCCGTCGTAGTGAGACGTCCGATCCGTACGAGAGCACGAAGCGGAATTGACACTGCGCGGCGGACTGCAAGTGGTGGGCAGAGCTTGCAGGTCCCTTGCAGGACGCAACGCGCATTCTGCTCGGTGTTGCCAGACACTGTACAGGCTGCGACACTATTCACAATCCTGCATAAAGCAGCGGACTGCGAGGATAGTGAATGGGCCACTTATGACTCCGCTAGCTGCCTGTATGTCCGTCTGTATGCATATGTCCATGGACGGCTGAAGATGGAGCTCCATCAGCAGATCCTGATACCAATGAAAGACAAACTACTAGCCAATACGATTCAAATGTACGCAAACGCGATGAGGCTCTGTCGTTTCATTGCGAAATTCCTTTGGCCACCTTCCAGCTCCATCATCAGATCAGCACCATGTCACAAATAATGCATTGTCTCGCGATTTACACATGTATACAAAATTTCTGCTGAACCGGTAACCGGGAAGTAGATGAAATTTAATTTGCAAGATTTGATGACAAACATTAAAATTTTGTAAAATTGTTCAAAATCAAAACTACTTGGCCAAACTATGGTAAATTTTTATGGGACCAAATGGCATCTATTCTGCATCAAACTAAAGAAGAATCACGTAAATCGGATCATAAATCTCAACGTAATCGGTGTACATACATCGAAAAAATATATACCAATCGAGAAACTCCTCCTTTTGAAGCATTTTATCGATTTTGTCATGACCCCCATGCATTCAGCTTTGCCGCCCCGGGTTTAGTCTGCTGTTGTAGTTGTAGTCGCTGCTGGCCGTATGAGGAATCTCGTAGCCGTTAGCGGGTTATGCTCGGTATTTCTCTGCATCATATAGTTCGCAACGAATACATCCGTAGTATAACAAAGGTAACCCACATAGCTCAGAGCATTAGCAAGCTATAATAAATATATAAGAAATAGCGGGCCGGTCATATGAGCTCGTTGAATGGCTAACCAATGAGGAATGAAGATTCTTGAGTGGAGGCTTCGTACTGGGCATAGCAAAGTAGGACTCCCCCCCCACTTGATGGAGTGACTACCTTTGCAATTGTGCGGGTAGTCGATGGATTCAGGTGGCTCCGGACCGTACTTTTGTGGCAGCCTATGGTATATACTAGCATAGATTTCGGTGACACACTAGAATAGTAAAGTAAAGTTACAGCCTATACATGTCCCACAGCTGGGCAAAGGCCTCCTCTATACAGAGGGTATCAGGGCATAGTCCACCACGCGGCTCCACTGCGGATTGGCGGATATTTTCGAAAAATATATTTTTTTTTGTTATTATTTCGAAAATATGCAGGTTTCCTCACGATGTTTACCTTCACCGCGGAGCACGTGATAAGTCAGCACTTAAAGTTAAAAACTTCATTGGTGCCGGCACCGGGGATCGAACTCAGGATGCTCGAGTATATTGAATTAAAGGCGAGCGCCCGGACACTGAGCTATCACGGCTCAAGTAGATAGTAGGCACTAGAACAGTAGATATCTTGAACTCGGTCTAGTCCAAGTGCCTTTGCCGATGTAATTGTAACTATATAGAATTATACGCCAATGTTTCAACTTAACCCATCTTCAATATGACGATTGACGGTAAGGGTTACGGGTGTGATAATAAAACACACGATAACTGCCTAAACATTTATTAAAATGCCATGATTAAATAGACAGTTAACGACACAACATCGAGAAGTACAACATATATCATCCGACTCTAGTTGAAAACGTCGGTACTATTTTTAGTATAAGTAATATAATTTTGAGCTTGAAACTATGAAATCTTAAAAACTAAACAAAGAAATATAAAAACTGCTATAACACACTTTCCCATTCATAATATAACGCAAAATGCAATACAAGGTCACAGATTTAGTCACGTTAACGTAACTGCATACGAACTCAGTTCATTATAATTTGAAGATAATGTAAGTAAAATTAATGAAGTCAAGATGTAAATCTAAAATAAGGTTACAAACGCAGAAACGTTCAAACGAGGAATATGAATAAATAACAAATTGAAGGTAGAACAAGAAAGAGGAGATGAGAAAAAGAGACAGTTCAAAGTATGGGAAGGGATTAAGCGATAGGTGGTTCGTCAACGCGAAAAAGAAAAATACGATAGGACAGCTTAAAAAGTAAAAGTCTGGTCCAAAATGAGACAAAATAAAATTAATTAGATAGAAATGACCGGAAAATCGTTGAGCTGAAACCATCAAAATCAAGCGTTATTGGCGTTTTGACACGACCTTAGTGCCAACACTCCAAACGCCATGCTCGCTCTGACTCAAAACACAAGGAAACACATGTACATCGACCAGACTAGAAAGGAGAAGGAGTATCGCAGCGGAATATATAAGGGAAGAAAGTCATAATCTATTATCAAATCAAAGATAGTAAAGTTGGTGTCCGCCAGCCCAACGAAGAAAAGGCCCAAACGCAGATTTAGAAAATTCGAATAAAAAGTGCGTTTTGGCTAAATCAATAGCTGAATTCGCCTCTGCCTAAAGAATAATACTAAAATATGAATAAAAAAACAGAGTGTAAAAATATTTAAAACACATACATTACTATCAATATAATTATTAAAGAAAACATCAAGACGCCCGAGGGCCGCTAGTCACTACGAATCTTAACAAGTATCAACGGAAAACACAATCAGGAAAACGAATGTGCCCGGGTGAATGTGAAACAGAGGCCTAAAACATCGTACAAGAACAAACGAAAGACCAAATAGGGCCCGTAGTAATTCAGGCGGACCGCAGTATAAGGTGGACGCCGGACTGCGTGTCGACCGGCTGGCTCAGTTGGCCGATCTTCAGCGAGAAGGCGGCATCCTCGAACGGCTTCTGCATCTGGCCGCGCCGGAATCGCCCGAGGTCGCCATCGCGCTTCGCCGACGAGCAGTCGGAGTATTCGCGCGCCAGCTCGTGGAAGGTGGACTCGCGACTGACGATGCGCCGCCGAAACTCTGCAAGCGGCACTGGGCTCAGCTGATTTGACATCAGCGTCAGAGTTTTAAGCTGGTAGGGCTACTCAGCAGCCTCGGCTGTTGCGCTAATGGGCAGTCTCGTCCGGGTAAGTACCGCAAACTGACAGAAGACCCGCGTAAAGTAGAAGTATGGTGCTTTCGCGTTTCGTCTGGTGCTGTCAACGCATCTGGAACCCTCGGGTGTATCATATATCCATGAGCGGCGGTATTCACTTAACATCGGGTGAAACGTCTGTTCGCTTCGCAACTTATCACATAAAAACTGTGTATATGCTAGCTTGCATTTATACGTATGTATGTGCGAGCGCGAGGGTGTGTATGTGTGAGCATGCATTTGTACGTCTGTGTGTCGGAGTAGGGAATGGGTGGGGTTAGCGGTGTGAGTATGGACAGGTCTGGGTGGATCCGCCTGTGTGGGTGGGTGGTGGGTGGTGTGCGTGTGTTTGTGTGCATGTTGAAATTTTAAAATATCATAATTTTTAAATTATACGCTTTCTCCAAAAGTTCTAAACCCAATTTGGTTAGGGCTAGAATAGGAAAGGAACAAACGAGAAAATAAGCAGAGGGGCCGCGTGGCGGACTATGCCCTAATACCCTCTGTACAGAAGAGGCCTTTGCCCAGTAGTGGAACATATACAGGCTGTTACTTTTTTGGCTTTAAAGGGGAAATACAACAAGACAAGTAATTCTGGAATACATAAAAATATTGATTTTATAGATAGCGCATATTACTACTGTAGTACTGACTGCGTAATAACTCATATGCGTCCCTAAGATGCGCAGTTTCGCGTGATCAACCTAACGCCATTTTCTTGTGAGCGACTCATATAATTAACGTTGAGGCGACAAGTATCCGTTTGTAAAGCGTAGCCACAGATCCAGTCAGCCACGACATGCACCTTGGATGATGTTGAATGCGTCGTCTTTCGAGCGTGTTATGTTATCTTCGCGCCACGACGACGGGCGACGGCTTTCCGCGTGCTTGACCAGTATATGACTGCAGTGGACCTCGGTTGGGGAGCTGCAGTCATCGTCATCCTCCTCGTCCTCAAGGGGCGCGGGCTCGTCGGGCCTCTCCCATTGTGATTTCTTCGTATGGCAATTCAGATAGTATGTCTGGCCTGTGGTCGGAAGCAACGTTATGACAGTATTTATATAAAAAAAAAATATTAGAAGTGGGTAAAAATATTACAAGTACCCATTCGTCAGCTATGTGTATACTTGACATGATGATTACAACTCAATGTAATAATGAACATGGTAAATTGAGAAAATGTTAAAGTTGTCATCTCAATATACGCCCACTTTTATATGAATGTAGCCCCACAAGTAACATATATAAATAGGTGTGGTACTCTCTGAAACAACTTACTAGTCACAAGGGGTAGGCCAGTAGATGGATTTGTCCTCTCTGGCTACTTATTTCTGCTATACTTTATTTCCTAACCATAATTATATACACAAGCTTGAGTAACTTTTCAAAACAAGTAGGTATTGTGCCTTAATTACTCTATCACAATTATATTTGATTCCTATGCAAAAACTATTTGCATTTAATATTGTTTTTAATATATGTAGTAGGTAGTGTGCATACACTGCAGCATTGCAATCTGAGTAAAGAGGTCCCGAGTTGCTATCACTTATTACCCAAATCTATTTTTTCTTCTATTACTAAAAAGCTGGTTTCCATTATGGTGGTTAATGTTTTATAACCAATGATTTTTTTAAATAAAATTTACTTTATATAATATATAAAATATTACTATATAATAAAGGAGTAGATTCAGTGTGTCTGTACATTGAATATATTTAATAAAAAAATTAAATAATATCCTCCTTGATTTTATTAATAGTACACAAAAAAGTTATAGGACACACATACAAAATATTGATATAATTTTCGCTTGAGGCAATATACAGGATTTGTTTATCGCAGTTAGTTTATTTAAACAAAAGCTATACCAGTACTAATATTCAAATAGCACTATTTGAATATTATATATTGTTGCACAACCGCAAACTTTATTTCATTGCAATCGGTTTATTCTTACAAAAGATATACATTAAAAGTTACTGGATCAATTTTAACAAAAAATAAACATCCATACAGAACTTGCTATTGGTGATAAAATGTTTACTATAGTAACTTGAATATTCAGTTTCAAAATAAAAAGGTGTTACTTAACAAATTCAATCAATAGAATTAGAACCTACCCTAGGCAGTGCCGGATTAAGCGAGTGCTGGGCCCGTAGCAAATTCTTTCAAACAGCCAACACAAAAAAAATTTCAATACTCTTATTTATTTAATAAGTTTAAAAAAAAATTATGTCTCAGGCAGAGATGAGTAGGTTTAAATATGCGGGGCCTCATTTGGTGCGCGGAAAGTAGCAATTGCTACTCTTGCTATGTGGTTAATCCGGCACTGAAGGGTAAGTTAGGTACAAGAAATTGGTACGCCAAAACTACATGGCGTTGTTTAATGCCTAAAATGCGTTATAGATACATTTTCACAAGTTTAGGATATTTTAGAACATGCTTTGAGATTTGGTTACTTTTTAGGAATAGTGAACAAAAACTTAATTCTTTTTCATTTCACTCCCAGTTTTGTGTTCTTACAATGCTTCTAAGAAACCTTACTTCGCCAATATTGTGCAATGGCAGACTCCATTTCCATTTTTTTAAAGTAAATTCTGTACAATGGCAAAAAATTTAAGCTGGGATTCTGACTGGGTGTGGCTTTTTTAATGTGAGGTGGTAAGTGAGCTTTCATTTTACCTGAAGTTAAGTGAATACAGCTACCCATGGACATTCGCAACACCAGAATGGTTGCAGATCCAATGCCACCATTTAATAAAGTGGGCTCCGGTTACCTCACTTGCAAAATGAAACGCAGAAGTATAACATGTCTACTTCATCAAGGTCATGGAACTTCCCCGGACAGGCCTACCCATTCATGCAACAGCTAAGACTGTTGCATGGCACTACCACATAATCCAACTCAGGTTAAAGTATTTATAAATTACTAAATATTCTGTGAATATCACTCATTCCCAACAACTTCTCATTTCGATTACAAGTGCACATAATTACCAGCAGCAGCTGCTTCATGATGACTATAAATAAGTCTCAGGGTCAGAACCTAAAGGCAGTTGGTGTTGACTTAAGATCTAACTATTTATCCCAGGAAACATAAGGCAAACCCATGAATGTGGTGTATATAAAGGCATATTTTTATGTATTTCTGTCTTTCTGTCCGAATATTCCGCCATCAGCCTATTCTACGCAGATGTAGTCGCGGGCAAGAGCTAATACAATAATAAATATGATTCTATTAACGCTTTATATAAATAACTACGACAGAACCCCATAAGGTATAGAATGATATTATATACCTACAAATGTTAAAACATTATTGGGCATGGGTACAAACACGACTCGAAGGCAATAGTTATTATAACTCGCAAACAAAGAAGATCAATACTCGCAATGCGGGATGATGAGGCGAGCCTTTATTATCTAAATCTTACCCGTGCTTCTACTTCTCCGTGCCTCCCATCCTTCGGGAAGGGGTTCTTCTTGTGCGGACGCCATTCTTAATTGGAAACTTAAGCTTTAAAAATAAATAATTTAAAAATTACAAAAAGAACTAAAGCGAAGGCGTTTCCTCCACTGAACTAAGGACAAAAAAAAGTATTTACAGAACAGACTATTATTCAAAAATCGATAACTTCGCGTTTATCACGTCGCGCAGATCGTTACTTGCTTATTTTGACTTTTTAAACACAGATTCAAAATCATAACTATACAGATGAGCAATCCTTCGCTTAATTTTTGTGAATACAGATAAACAACATATAGAAAAAGAGTAAAAAGTAGCTCCTGTTTTTCATTCTCAGCGCGCTCGACGCTGTGCAGGGCGCTTAGATCGTATATTTGAATACAAAAAGTGCATAATATGGTTATCTTGCAATTTGAAAAGACAAAATTCAGTTTCCATCACTGTTTTCAAGTTTAATATATTTTATAGCGCTGCAAATTAAAATTATAACTATTGAAGTTTAGATAATAAAATTGCTTAGTTACTCAGCTTATTAACTGTTCTTCGTTTGGTATAGAATTTGTAGTTTGTGAATGGCAAGTGTTTTTATCGCCAAGGTCAGAAGTGGTATAATTTGGCAAAAGCCATTGGGTACTATATACCCCAAAATACCCCCTACTCTCAAGCGATCCTTAATCACTGACACCTCAAAATTTTCATTGTGATAGCCACTCATCGGCTTCTGCTATTTTAAATCAAATCAAGTCATTTTTACATCGAAGTAAGAAATATACATTTAATCTGATTCATCAAACTTTCAATAGGCCGAATGACAGCGGACGTTTTATAGTGACGCACACTAAGACGCCAGCCACCACCAACTTTCGATGACATGTCGACCCATAAGACACATCGGTTCATGGTTCCATAATTACCGTGGACCATATAGTTCGGAAAGTACCATGCAACTCTGTATTAATCTTTATCAAATCCCGATCCATTATTTGCTTTTATATGTATTTATTAATTTTTCTTTGAGGCTTTCCATAATATTGTTTTTATTTACAAGACGTTACTTCCATAAAATCTTGATATCGGACATTCATATAATGTACTTTCACTTTAGTACTAGTGCTTGTTCACATAGGATCACGTGGGCGCGGTGGCGACTGCGGGTGCGAAAGATGTTGGGATCTCGTGTTCACGTTAGCCGCCAGTCGTTTACGCATGGACGGTGATCTTTTATTTTTAAACGCAAATTCAATCCTAAAGTGGTAGATGCTAAAAATTAGAATTGGTGTGCAACAAATTAATAAATAAAGGGGACGGTATGGTTAATTTTATACTTTATATAATAAGTACCTGGAGGACCGAGCTTTGCTCGGTGGTTTTTTGTAAATTATGTATTTTGGAAATAAAAAAAATAAAAAAATAAAGAAAATGATCTGGTATAGAAAAAAGTACAAAAAAAGACTGTGTAAATGATCGTGATACGAACCACAGCGTCTGTTTTGGGGCCGCCCGATTACCGGCCGAGCTATTATAACATTTTGTTTTGCGGCGAAATTTACTGTCATATTCGAATAATATTTTTCATTCCCTGAAATCAGGGATAAAAGGGCATTTTCTAAAAATAAAACCTAGCTAGATCGTTTTTTCGCCCCCGAATCTACGCACATACTAAATTTCATGAAAATCGCTGGAGCCGATTCCGAGATTCCGATTATATACATATAATCGGAATCTCGGAATATCTCGGTATATATATATATATACAAGAATTGCTCATTTAAAGGATAAGATTAGAGAGAACATCCTTCAAGATTTTTTTGGATATACCGGAATGACTGTAAACTGTTTTGATTACGTACAGGATTCAATAAGGAGTGTCATTTCAAAAGAAGACGTAAAAATCGTGCTGTCATTTCTAGCGACAACTTCAAAATGGTTGAACTCTTTCACCTGACGTCGCGAGTGAATAGCGCGCTCCGCCGCTCGTTCGACGTGAACACGCACAAACGTCTCAAGCGTTTGATAATGCCGCGAGCGCCGCGCGCGCGCCATTCGCTAGTTTGCCCGCTACTTAGACCCGACGTGAATTTCGTACGCGAAAACTTGGATACCAAGTCATATGTTTGATATTTCGTGACCGCGTCCGCCACCGCGCCCGCGAGTCAACGTGATCAAGCACCTAGAGTCGATCGACCTCCGTCCTTATATATGTACGATCAGACAGAAATGACCACACACCATATTTTGAACAATCCTTCCATATCACTTAATATATAATAATATAATGTACTTTATTATTTGCATCTCTCTATATTCCTTTTGAGTATTTTACATGATTTTTTATTACTTTTAGCCCACTTATATTGTTTACAATAGTATTAATATATCTTTAAATAAAGTATATATCCTTTCAACCAACCTATAACTTTTTGTGTGATTAATCTTTCTTACAGGTTTTGTTATCATCTTATACGGCCTTTATTAAGAATAATTATTAATAATATTTATTATTATTAATAAGTCGTTACACCATGGTAACACCATGAAGTGGGTGTCGCTTTTAGGGTGTAGCACATATTAAAAATTCACATTTCACCCTCATAGCCCTCATTATGTCCGTGACCCTAACGCGCTAAAAGAAGTATTACTTCAATTATATTATATGAAAAATAATATTTTACAATGTATCTGTAATAATGAACAGGTTGTATAGAGAAAACCCAAGCCGTTAAATTATAGTAAGAAAAAATATAATAACAAGCTGCGCATCTGGTTCGACGCGCACAGCGCATTTATTGATTTCTGAGTCTGAAGTCCACCCTAGTTATACCTTTCTTTGTCCTTTGGTCCAGTGGAGGCAACGCCGCCGGTTAAGTTCTTTTTTTTTATTTTGAAATTATTTATTTTTAAACGTTAAGTTTTCAAATAAGAATGTCCGCACAAGAGGAACCCCTTCCCGAAGTATGGGAGGCACGGAAATGTAGAAACACGGGTAAGATTTAGATCTAAAGACTTGGTTCCGCATTGCGAATATTAATCTTCTTTGTTTGAGTCATAATAACTATTTGTTTTTACATTGTGTATGTATGTATACCTGTCTTATGGGGGTTCAATCGGAATTATTTCCAGAAAGCGTTAATATTATTCCATAAATTTAATATTGTTTCATAAAAAAGTACAATGTCATTTACATAATATTATATATTCACATATCAATAATATGTAAATATGCCTATTCCTATACATAAATATTGTGAATATACCACTGTTTAGGTAATCAATGAGAATGCGCTGGATATGGCCATCTCGGGTCATTAAGTTTTATTTAATAAAAATCTATTGCACTTTATAATTTCATTAAATAAAATTAACAACCATAAAAGAAGCCAGTTTATTAGTAACAGAAGGAAAATTAGGTTTGGTCAGTAAGTGACAGCAACTGGGAACTATAGTACTGAATGTATTTTTAATATGGTAATGCCATATTAAAAATACATTTACTGCAAATATTTTTTGCATTAGAATCGCAGCTAATAATGACTGAGTTATTACGAGAAAATACCTAGTTGTTTTGAAAAATCACTTAATTGTGTATAATTGTTTAAATATAATACCTCAGAAATATGTAGCCAGAATGGGCAAATTTGTATATAATACTGGATACCCCCTGCGACTAGTATGTGCACCTGCTTGAAAGGGATTTATTACCCCCACAGACAAACACACCCATACCTATACACCATCAAACATCTATATGCCCTCACACCTGCAGACGACGGTAGCTAAGTACAGTGTTACTTGCAGAGTTAGGGTGGCATATCGTCAACTGCAAGTCCAACTTCCACGAGCTTGGGCGTGAATACTCGGACGCTTCCGGCAGCGCCAGATGCAGAACCCGTTCGACGACGTCGCCTTCTCGCTGAAGATCTGCCAACTGAGCCAGCCGGTCAACACGCAGTCCGGTGTTCATCTGATACTGCAGACCGCCCGAATTTCTTTTTCCACGGGCTCTGTTTGCTTTCCGTTTGTTTTCTTTTCTAAGCAGATGCGAATTTAGCAATTTATTTAGCCAAACGCACTTTTGTTAGAATTTCGTAGATCAGCGTTTTGGCGATTTCTTCGTTGGTATTTTAACTCGGCGTCCGTCTTGACTGTAGTTAGGGGAATCCTTACTCGCAGAAATTGTTCTTTCCCTCACAGGATCGAACGTGATCTAATGCGTTGAGCTTTTGAAAAAATAAAGCCATCAGCTTAGTGAGACCAACTTTAAAGATGCACCACGCCCCCAAGGCATCGTAAGGACACTCCCTCGACCTTGGCTTAGGCGCGTTCTATATATCACGGCGTGACTGGATTTATCCTGTGGAGTACATTTGAGTTGCCTTATTTAACTGAAACAGTTATGTGATTCGTATCCCTTGTTTTGGCACGTCATCTAACCCCTTGTTTACTTTTACTTTTATCTTGGCGTGACCCGTTGTACTCCTCAGGTTTATTTGGTCATGTACTCTAGACCAGCCGTCACTGTTGGCTACAGCTTTTAACTGTCTATTTGATAATGGCATTTATAATTATTATTAATAAATGTTTAGGCAGTTAACCCGTGTTTTATTATCACACCCGTAATTCTTATTTTCATTTCAAATATCTACAAATAGAAGGGTTTTGACGAGATGGCGGCGGACATGCAACATTGGCGTATAAGTCTCTAAATCCGCCGTGACAATTACATCAGCGAAGCCACTGGGACTGAGAGAGTTCAAAAAATCTACTAGTATATCTCAGAGGTATCTTTTACCGCGTAAAATGATTAAAGCAAAATGAAAAATGCAACTCAGGGTGCTTTTTGGCCATGCACAAAATCGAATACTCATGGAGCTAGTCCTTGCAACGCACTTTTACTCGTAAGACTTAGTACGGGTTTTAACTTGTACGACTCACCTTTAATGTATGTTAAACTGAATTCAGCAAAAGAAACCTAAAACTAATTGTTTTAGATTTTTCCTTTTAATGAAAATTTTAAACTAATCGGTTTTCACTA